TCGAACCGCGGTCGACTACGTGGGAGTCCAGCGACATAGTCATTACGCTAACTGCTGGTCCCACAAATCACAAGTTTTGTTGTGAACGACTGCGAACTTGAGTTTAGAAGGTAGAGGGGCATCTTGCTCTCTCGTATTTTCTGAAGGCCTAGGTTTAGGGTCAGAAAACACTTGAGGATCATTCAACATAGAACTGCACTGTCATTCACACAGTCCCAGGCCATTAGACCTTAGTATATAAGGATATTAAGGAAATTTCGGGGGAGCACAATTTGATCATGATACTCTCAGGTTCAAACTTCTTTTCAACTCTGAGTTGCAGGACAACGATCAGACATATAACATCGTTGAGGATATCCTGGCTCAGGATCTTACCACCCCAAAGACAATGCAAGCTGGGACTATTTCAAGCATGTCCTATTTTCTAAGTCATTATGCCCTTTCAGGAATTTATGTACTTTGTCACATTCAAACATATCTTTATACCTAAAATTTAACCCCTCTCAGGACCAGCAGATGGCATAATGTTTACATCTCTGGACTCCCATGTAGTTGACCACAGTTCGGATCTCTGGCCCTGCAGCTTAAAATTCATGGTGGGCACACGTGCATGCGTGCCCCAGATAACCCAGAGAAATGGAGGAGAAGAGACTGCGGTGCCGTTTTTGGTGGTGATTTCTTGCTTTCTGTCTCTCTGCCTCTGTCTCTCCACAAGTTCATATATTTTATAGCAAAATTCTTCTCAAAGGGGAGAAAAAATTAACTCCTGTTTACCCAAGAAAATCATACTTATGAGAAACCTCTTCACTAAACCAGCACATGAAAGACAAGAACCATATCTTATTTGCCTTCTTCTTTCAATACTTTAGCACAAAATTTATGATTAAGAAAAAAATTCCCTACAAAAACCTTTTTTTGTTGGAATCGGAAATGATTTATCTTTAAAAATGTTTTTACAGTTCTCTAAAGAATCACGGAAAAGCTTTATAGTGCTGGCGATCTTATAAACCACCACGTAAATATATCAGCTAATGCTCTTCTATTCTTCCCATGTCACGTCTGAAACAGCCTCAAATTCCACATTCCAGACCTATTTTCAACAAGGAAATTCTGAATGACCCTATCACTGGTCCAAATATCAGCCCACATTTGTCATGGTTAGTAACAGCTGTTGCCCTGAGCCCTCCAAGTGCTTTCCAGCTACTTGGTGCCTTTCAGGGAACTAACCCATCCAAACATTGAAAGTCAAGGCTCAGTACCTCAGGCCTGTTCTCATGCGGCCACCATCATTCTCCATGACTGGCGTTCAGGCCGCACTTGTTCTTAGAGATACATTAAATATCACCCTTGATGACCTAGAGGGTCAATGCATGGAGACCATACATTTATATAGAATTGAGATACACAGTGACTTGAAAATTAGACTTAAAGAATAAAATATAATCCTCATGCCTTTCAAGTATAAAATTAAAGATCAGTAAGTTAAAGGTCAACTTACGTTAAAAGATTATCTCAAGAATAGTTTTTAATCTTTAAAATGTTTCTGACTCATTGGACATTATAAAAAGGTATTTATAACTCCTGCAAGAAAAAACTAGGCATGATTTTATCCATCACTAATGTGTGTGTGTGTGTGTGTGTGTGTGTGTGTATGTGTGTGTATGTATGTGTATATGTATATACACAAGATATATATGTATATGTATATGAATGTATGTGTGTGTGTATATATGTATGTATATATACACATATATATATTCACAAAGATAAACTAGTATGGTATCCAGGATCATGATAGATTTGAGAGCTTTGATGAATTTCTTGAAACCTGCAAACTTGGAAATATCCTAAGAAATTACCTAGAAAGCCATGATTCCCCCCAAAATATTAAACTGGAAAAAAAAAAAGGCAAGTGCTTAAGGAACTGAGCTGGTTTACATATTAACACTAAATATACTATTTGAAAGCCTTATTATCTACGATATTTGTCTGTTATCTCCCTTCTGATAGTCATTGATAATAAAGTTTATGAGGAAACAAACAATTTCAGATTGTGAGGCAATTCTTTCAGACGTAAATAATATATGACTATGTAAAAAATGAAATGATATGACCAGTTCTCTACTATTGATAATTTGCTTAAACCTCTATCTCTAAACATCATCTGTCAATATCTGCCCATCTATTTCCCAGATTAGGAGATGCATAGCCATTTAACAGGAATTCACTTATTTTTACCCTCATTTTCATTATCACTAAAGTTCTGTCCAACAGGAACATGCTATCATTGTGGCTTTCAGGAGATCACATCATATATAGATAATTTATTTGCTTTTTGTCTAGCAGGTAGAATTAACTGCACACTCCCACCTATGAAAATGACACATGAAAGTCATTTGAAGTATCTCAGTCCAGCTCCCTGAACTTACATGTCCCTCACCTTCAAATCTCTCAATTGACAGTTCCCCTTCCCTGTTATATTTTCTTTATTTTATTTTATTTTTAGAGAGAGAGATTTTCGTTATAAGGTGTGCACATACACCAGAGAGACAGAGATAGAAAACAAGAAATCACTCCCAAGGGGGGATGGCTACAGTGCAATCCCTTCTCTTCTATTCTCCTCTTGGGATTCTAGGCATGCAAACACATGCATCCAGTGTGAGTTTCAAGCCACCAGGTCCATGGTCAACAATGTGGGAGTCCACCAACGCAACCATTCCACCAGCTGTTGCCCTCCCTGTAATGTTTTCTATAAGGTGTCCTTGATGGGAAACTGGGACTCCTTTCTGAGAGCTCTCAACCACTTTAAGCATCTTTGGGCACTCAGAACTACAGGCACTTTTTCCTGAAAGATGCACATAATTACAGAATATTTCTTCTGGTAAGAGGGAGTTTTAACTTTTTTCTACAGAATAGGCTATTTTTAAAAATAATTATTTATTTTATTTATTATTATTATTTAATTTGACCAGAGAAAGAGAGCAAGAAAGTGAGGAAGTAAGGCAATAGGAGCAGGACTCAAACTACGGTCAGCCATGTGGGAGTCCGGCCCCTTAACCATGCCTCCTGACAGTCCTGGCTATTGCTTTTGTAACAAAACTTGTACAGTATTGTCAATTATAAGATGAAAATATGAAGGTGAAAAAAAAGAAAAAAGGGATTGTCTTTCCCCATGGAGCCCACCATCAACCAGTCCCCCACTGCTCCACTCACCCATCCACTGGGAGATCCCCCCCTACCCACCACCGCCATGCTTGGAGCAAGCTCATTTATCGCAGAAGCTGCTAACAGGCTCTTTAATTTATCGATTTATTTTAAGAGTTTTTTTGTGATAGGGCACATGTGCTTGCCAGAAAGACAAAGAGACAGAAAGAGAAAAATCAAACCATAGGGAGGATGGCGGTGCCTCAATTCCTTCTCCTCCATTCTCTGGTTCGGATTTGGTGCATGCATGCTTATGTACCCAACGTGAGTTTTAAGTCATCTAGTTCAAGACTTGAACTGCAGTCAACTACGAGAAAGTCCAGCCACATAACCATTATGCCATCTGCTGGTCCAGCTAACAAACTATTAATGGCTTCATGCAATAGACATATTTCTAGTTTTACCTTTTTTTCTCTGCTGTAGCAACTGACCCTTTGGCTGCTCCCTGGTTCTTTAAATTGTCTGTTCGAGCAGCTAGGAATCCTCGCCTGGTGCTCCTGTTCATCTCTGGCTTCTTCCTAGTCCATTACTTTCCCCCTTAGTCTGCCCAACCTTCATGTTTCTTCCCAGTAACAGATAGAATGTCTTCTTTCCCTGCACAGCTCACTGGCATTGCAATGGAGAACTAGTACATGTGATGCCTGGGGTTCCATCAATCAGATCAGAATTTGGGGGCAGGTGGAGATATCTACATTTTTTGAAAGAGTTGAAAAGCAGTGCTCCAAATTCTCTCTTTGGCTAACTGTTCCTGTTAATAACCTCAACAATACATCTATATTTACGACCTATGGGTATACATTTCAGCACAGATCTCTCCAACAGACTAAAATTCCATACATGCAGCCTCCTTCTGAGAAATTCCCATAAACATCAAAAATGACCATATTACTTTCCCTAAAGCCCTCTTTTCCCACCTGTATTCCTTAACTGGCATGAAAATTTCCTCTAACAAGTCGCCAAGCCAAAAATAAAAAGTTAGAGCCGTCTGGGGATTCCCTGTGCTCTCACCTTATCATCCAGCCATTTATGATTCAGTTTCCTAAATAACATTCATTTCTTCCATTTACTCTATCTCCAGTACCACTCCTTCCGTTTAGGTATCTAACCATGAGCTCCTTGGCCTTTCACAAGCGTGAAAGTTTACGTCATTTTCCTTGAGCTAATTCCTCATAATCTTACATTATTTCTCTACCTGAATTGTCTCCTTGGCATCTCACTGTTTATACTCTCACGTCCAAACTTTCCTTGGTGGGACCGATGGAATACCAGGTTCTCCTTCATCTGAGACCACCTATCTTTTCAGCCTCGTCTCCTGTCCCTTTCCTCAATAGGGAAGCCATATGAAACCTTATGGGGGACCCCAAGCGTTCCACATCTCTGTCCATTGCCACATGCAATGCTATCTAGAGAATGGTGAGCTTTTGAATGATATTCAAAAATGAAATTTGTATCAACTCTCAACCAGAAGAGCAAGTAAAACTGGCAGACTTATTTTCTTCAGTTGTATCCTTTTACTAATGGAGTTTATTGTTTTTTTCCTTCTTGTAGTATAAGGTATCTTGGCTAAAAGTTCTACTTTAAGTACAAGAGAAGGGGAAAGTTCCTTCATTCCCATATTATAAAAAAGAAGGATTTCTAAAACACAGATTGTTAAAATTTGTTCAATAGAAAGTCTGATTCTTTGGAAGATCTATCAAATGAAAGTATCCCTGATTTATAAGTGATAAATGGATATTGAATCATATATATGGATATATATATGTGTGTATCTATATCTGTAGATACACATACATATACACACATGTACCACCATATATACATTTTATATACATATATATAATTACATAAATATACATATTATTAAGGGAGCTTTGGCTCTTTGCATGTATTTGTGTGTATGGGGGGAGGTTTGAAGGCTTTTGGTCATTAGTTACTAACACTTAAAATATTGAAAACATTTATCTCTAGATGAAATGTTCATATATATTTAAAAGTTTTCCTTAACAGAGAAGTTTCTACAAGATTAGCAGAAATCGGAAATGGTCAAAGAGAAGTGAATCTCTCTCTTTTTCAGCCCTATTTATCTTTCAAGTTGGGAAAAAAATGATGACAGGAAGCATCATCATTTAAAATCCTGACTTTGACTTTAAATGTGAAATTATCCCTTGTCAGCGCAGAATAAAGTAACTGCCATTCAGACTGATGTTTCAAAAACGAGATTATAGATTTGTCTCTGACACGGATATGGTTTTGGTCCATTACAATATTAAAGAAAAAAATGACAGATGTATCAGATATATTAACAATTGCCAGATTAATAAAATAATAGTTTCTCAAACCGTTGTACATTAGGTGACAGAAGGGGGTCTTCAAAAAGTTTGTGGACAATGCATATTATGAAAAAAGTATGCATGGGTTTAAAATATTTTTGCATCAAAAATAAACTCACACTTTAATTCCATTTTTACAGGAACTTTTTGATGTCCCCTCATGGTATGCCAACTCCGCATCCATTCTATTACTTTAGAACTCTAAATCAATTAAATCAACTGTGAAATAAACTCTGAAGTTGTTGATTTGTTTTGATTTCCAGAATTTGCTTGTTCATGACCCATTACTAGTAATTTCAATAATTAGCCTGATTCCAGATTTTACAGTTTTTTGATTCCCTCAGAGATATTATGTGCACGATCTCCAAAATCAATTTCTGTAATGCTGGTGTGCAGGTTGTGCGGCCAAAGCACTGAGGGAGATGGCCAGGTCCTGGCTGAGGGCTCCCTGAGCTCTGGCCAGCGGACTCACCTTCTATGATGTAGATGCACTCTCTGTCAGGGGGATACTTGCTGGGGTAGTTGGGAGAGGTGAAGATGCCACCCTCGGCATGTTTTGTCCAAGTTCCACACTGTATGGACTTCTGGGTTTCTGAAGTGGTTTGCTTTTCTGTAACAACATTTTTCCAAAAAGAACCATCATCCAATTTTCCATAATACTAAAAATAGGAGAGACATTCTTATAATATCCATTAGTAAATTAATTTCTAAACATTGTTTTAGTCCAAACCAATCAATTATATACATTATACAATGTCCAGATATTCTGGAATATTAAGAACATGAAAAAATAGGAAAATGCAAATTAATTAGAAGTCTTCTACTAGCATAAACACACCTGTTCCTTTCTTTGTTGCCCCAGACAAATGGAGGATGATTAAACTTGCTACAACTGAAACAGAAAAGAAAAAATTAGAAAGATAACATACCCTAGAGTGGGCAAATCCATAAAAATGTAACATAAAATTATATCAGAACAGATTTATTTTATCATTGTTAACTGTTATGAGCTGACTCAGAACTTATGAAATTGATTTGAAAAGGACAAATCAGGAGCATTTGGGAATCCCTAAAGAAACTAACGCAAGTTGAGAATGGATGAGACCCAAACTCTCAAGGCAAATACAAATCGACTTCAAAGCTAGGGAGGAACACACCATACTAATGTCATATAGATTATGGCGGGATTTCAGCACTCACACCCTTTCTCAACTACTCTTCCTCAAGGGCTTTGAGACCTCTCTACAGGAAGAGAGATGGGCACCAGGAAAAAGGAGAAGGAAAAGCCAGCAAGGAGAAAGCTTGCCATGACTGATCCTAACATTGCCAGTGTGTTTCTGTTTCAGAAAATAAATACTTAGGCAAATCCTATAGGGTGTGGGGGAGGGGAACAAGGCAACAGATTAATGTGGATTGAAGGTATTAAGCAGCACTGTGAAAACCTTTCTTACAAAAATGTACTGAACTATCAAGTTACCCCATCCTCAGCACTTTCTAAGCTGTTCAATTAATCTCTTTTAACCTTAACTTTGATTTAGTGTTATCCAGAAATTGGTGATTATTCTCAGAAAGGTGATTTCTGTAAGCATTTTATTCTGTTTTTCAGTACCAAAAAGACAGATCTGTAAGTTAACAATAAGCCTGCCCTGTTATTACATCCAGAACTCCTGTTTTATATCTATATCCTTGATTTACGAACATTTTTTTAAAACCTACAACTAGCAAAACATTCCTCTCATTTTCATAATTTCCAATTTTCTCTCTTCTATTTTATTTGTCATTTAAAAAAATTCCAATTACATAAAAGGCCAACATCTTCATAATTCTACTCAAAATTAGTTGGGGGGAGAGGGAGAGAGGACATAAGTTACAATTATTTGCTAAACTAAAGGTCACTAAGGGAATTTATACATTGATGTTTAGATATTATTCCAAGAGTATCTGGGCCTGGACATCCAAATTTGAGGACTCATCAATTGCATTACTTTATACTCTAGCCAGGCCATCTGCTTCTTTAGATTAAAGCATTGATGGTTGCTACTGTGCGTGTGTGTGTTTAAACAGACAAAAATCGGTGTAACTCGTCATGAGTCTACACACGCGCACACACCCGTTTGTGTCAGGTTGTATCTGATGTTTTCCTTACTCGACTTGTCTTGTTTTGATGGAGTCACGTTATAGAATAGACACTACGTTTAACTCCTCAGCAGAGCCGGTCTTAATACTGCGTGGCACAGGATTGACACTGGAGTCCTTGTTTATGATGTTAAATCTCAACCTCAGGTTCCTCACATTGCCTTTTACTTGGTGACTTTGACGCTGTTTTCCTCCCGTTCCTTCCCACCTCGACGCTGCACGCGCTCCCACACTCACAAAGCAACGCTAGAGGTACTGGGAAGAGAGGCTTAGGGGTTGGCACGCGCCCTGGCCTGAGGCACTGGGTTCCAGTGGACCTTACAGCACCCGCTGGAGCAGGAGTGCGGGCCGCGGAGCGCCAGGAGCCCCAGAAGAGCAGACTTCCCATCAGGAGTACCAACCCCGCTCTCTCGCTCCTTCCACCTGCGCCCTCGCTTGGCCCCCGGCCTCCTCTGCACGTGCCCGTCCCTGAACTACACACTCTGCTCAACCCCAGGGAGGTGCCTGCGTATGGAGAGCCGGTTTTCCCCGGTAGACCCCGAGACCGTGCGACGACCGACTGCGCACCGCCCCCACGCCCCAGCCTATTCTGCTGCAATACAGAAAGTTTACATGCGCCCGGGACGCGCGGGGACTGCGGGGTCCAGCCGGCGCGCGGTGGAGACGGGGAGGGGCGGCAGGGCAAGGGCCCGGCGCGGACCGGGTGGCGGCGGGAAAGGTACTCACTGTGGAACAAACTGCGTCCATAGATCATGTCTGTGCGTTACACCAGAGGCTCCGAGCTCCACTAATTCCATTTAGAGACGCGAAGACTTCCAGCGGTGGGGGAGAGGACGGAGTCAGAGGTTTCCAACAGGCAAACCAAGAACAAAATAAAGGGGGAGCAAACAGAGAGACAGGAAAGAAAGATCCGAGCCCACAAAGCAGCCAGATCCGAAGCGGTCGGTCCTCCGCCCTGGCTCGCGCTCGCTCTCGCGCTCACCGCCGCGAAGC